TTTTTGTTTTTATTAACATAGAAAAAATAAAAGGTAATACTCAATTTTTTTCTATTTTTCATACCTATAATTCGACATTGTTTGTAATTATTCTCCTTAATACATGAATAAAAATTCGAACAATATTTCGATCAATATTAAATTGGGAGAAAGTTTCTAAATATACCAAATGATATATTCTTCAAATGATCATTTTACTTCTTAAGGTTATCGTTCAAACTGGGGTTAATAAAAATTTAAAAAAAATATATAGCATAAATGTCAATAACATTATCATTATGAAAGTGCGACTCTATTTTCTGTATTAGATAATTATAGAAATACTTCGTATTATTGTTTTTATTCTTAACACTACTCGCTTATTTAATCAATGTCAATCAAAATTTAATCAATAAAATATTATATTTTCAATGTAAACGAAATAGCCGATAGCGGATACTCGATCTTGGGATTTCCTCTTTCAACTTATCTACAATATTTTTAATGTAACTTGATAGAAAGTTAATATATCGTTTGGAAATTCCCATAAAGAATATCACTCCACAATAGAATACATTTTAAATTACTTTTAATTTTCTCTCTTACATTTATTTTTAAGTGAATTTTACAAAAATATAGTTCAATTGTATAATACTTAATGTCTGGCAAACATTTCATATTTATATTTTGATATCGATTAAATTTTTACTTCATTATGAGCCATTTTTAAGATAACGTAATTTTCAATGTGCAACAAGTCACAAATACGATGCTCTTGACATTTTAACTGATAATTTACTAATGTGCATATGCACTTATATGTAACAAATGGTTGTGAAAAATTGTACATGGTCCATTAAACATATACCATGGGTATCTATTTTTTTTTAAATTTTTGTAGACGTTCACGTGATTTGAGATATGGCTGTCAACGTGTTGACGCATTAATGAAGAAACAATTATTTTCTTGGAATTAATGTTAGGTTTATTTAAATAATGGGGAACCATTACTCATCGATAAAGTTTCCTTGTCTTAAAATGAATGTAATTTCCTTCATCAGAGCATGTCATTGCCTTTTATAATATAATATATTATAGTTATAATATATATAACTATATAACGAGAAATGAATGTAGCGGTTGTTAACCTAGTTATAGGAATTTAACAGAAAAAAAATCACACGTATAATATATATATATATATATATATATATATATATATTATATTTTTTCTTCCTTAAAGACTCTAATTTACGTTTTACAACTTAAATCGTATTTAGAATTATTATTATTTATCAGGTTCTAAATTTGAAGCATAATTATCATTTAACGATCATTTTAATGAACAATTATTTTATAAATAAACATTTATTGATCAATCCACGATTATTCATCGATTGAAAATTTTAAAGAACATTTTAAAATGAATGTTTTTTTAATTTATCTTTCTGTATTTAGATAATATTATCTATTTTGAGATAGGTCGATTACAAATTGCGGAAGAGAAAGGAAAGAAAAAAAAAATACTCAAATAAATAAGATGTGATAAAATTTAGAATTAAATTGATTAATTCAGTACCTGAGTATTTGAATAAATATTTCCGTGATGTGTGTGTGCGTGTGTTGCTTTAAATTGATTAATTCAGTATCTGAGTATTTGAATAAATATTTTCGTGATGTATGTGTGTGTGTTTGTGAAAATTCAAAAACCGACTAAAAAGCAAATGGTGTATAGTATAAGACAAACTTTTTAGTCATATATAACTGTTGAGTTGTCATTATAACTGTTGAGCAATGTTATTTCCTTCCTTTACTCTTCCTCTACTCAAACCTCCTCTTTTATTTTAATGTTGATTCCCCACTACTTCTATCTTTCTCCCTCTCTTTTCATATTTCTCTCTCTAATGTAAAGAAAGAAGGAAAACTTCTCTCACATTCGCAAAGAACATAAACAGAGAACTTGAAAGAAGGAGAAGAGTAAAGTGGTAGTGGGAGGTGGGGGGAGAACTGGTTTGATCAGTTTCATCCCTCTTCGTGAAAACATACATAAATATCAGTGATTATGGGTTACACGTTCAGTTGACTAAGCGACGCGGTCGTGAAATAATTCAATCTCGTGTCAGTGTCATTTAATTTTAAATTACAAAGAAGAAATAAAATAATATTATTCACAGAAAGTTATCGAGTGATCGAACGAAGTCAAAAAGAAAAAAAAAGGACACAACTATGTATATTTCATTTTGCAACTTTGTCGTAACATTATTATTCCTACTGTGCACTAACACAATTGCACGTAAGTAATATATCCATTTATTTTCTCGTATTTTTTCTTCCTTGTTCTTCACGTAATAGATTTATTATTTTCAA